AGAGAGAGGGAGGGAGAGAGTGAGTGGTGCGTTGGTGCGCAGGTGCTGGGTTCGCTGTGGGTCTAGAGCCACTAGAGGGTAGAGAGAGAGAGAGTAAATAAAGGATGTGTCCGGAGCCAGTAGAGGGGAGGGGGAGAGAGAGAGTGAGTGAGTGGTGCGTTGGTGCGCAGGTGTTGGCCCTGCTGGTGGTGGCGTGCGTGGCCGCCGTCTTCGCCGCCGAGGAGGCGCCGAAGGACAAGCGCGCCGTCTACTCCACCGGCCTCGGCTACGGCGCCTACCCCTACGCCGGCCTCGGCTACGGAGCCTACCCCTACGCCGCCGCCGCCGCCGCGCCCGCCTACGGCGCCTACCCCTACGCCGCCGGCGCCGCCTACGGCGCCTACCCCTACTACGGCTAGACCCCCTCCCTCACCCCCCTAACCTCCCGTCCTGCACTCCCCCCTCTTGCCCCCCAAGCGCACAGCGGCCGCCATGCAGCTCCAACACGCGCCTTCCGTTGGACCACGCCCCCTCGCACGCCACCAGCGACCACGCGGCGCGGCGCTCCTCTAAGCAATAAACAAAACTAAAAGCAACTCTTCGCTCGTCGTCTTCTTCTTTCATCCCCCCACCACCACCACCTCCACTTCCTTCACAGCCACATTTACAAATGCCATAGATAATTACCACCCTAGCCACATAACTAGGTGCAATTCAACCGCTTTGGAGACAAGACGTGTAGAGGCTGGCAACTCCAGAAGTTCTCCTGATTTCTGCAATCAATACCAACCAAAAACCTAAGCAGTACTCTAAGGTACATGGACCGTTCCCGATCTTTGCTTCCTCTTCATTTTCCTTTATTCACCCTTTACTTATATACACACATACATGCACTACACTACCACGCATGTCAGGAGACCTGTCAGAAAGTTAGAAGTTGTTCTCGCTGGGGAAATGCCCAGCTGGTGGGAGATTCCTGGTTAGCTCCCACCGCTTCAGATATATCATTCACTACACTAATGGGAATAATGGCCACAATGGTTGATGTGCTCTGAAATATCAAACAATCATCCTTTCTCTTCCAATCTATATTCACAGTGTACAGCATAAAATCAAGTGGATGTTTCACCCAGGACAATTTGCCTGCATGAGAATTCTAAAGGTCAATGGTGTGCTGTCGTTATTCCCGCCGACCAGTTCCAGACGGATGCCAGATCTGCTTTGCTCAACGAACTGCGCGCGACCATTCCTTCCCCATCCTGCCTCGCACTGTCTCCGTTCCGTGGAGTGATGGGTGCTCTCTCGCTCCCCCACAAGACCCAACCCCACCCCAAAACGGGGCGCTTCGCCTTTGCGCCTCCCGAAGTCAAAGCCACGAGCTGCCAGCTCTCACAATCAGCCGCCGACCCAACATCAGGCACGAGCCATTGGACACGTTTTGAACAACGAAGCGTTTGCACCGAAAGCACTTGACCAATAGCGTGGGCAGTCTGAAAAGAGTCTTAAATGGAAATACTAGTGAGCTGTGCCCGTAGACTGAGCTCTAAATTCCCATAATACCACGTCCTCTTTTTTCGAATTTGTTCGACTAGAGCTACCCACCAACCAGGGATTCGAATACAGAATTATTTTATTATTATTAAAAACAAGGTGAGACCACCTCATTATTTAAGCAATAGCTGAAATAGCTTAATATTCTTTCCATTATTTTATAGGAAAAGTTGAAGATATACAACATTCTTAATCAGTGGCGTAGCTGCAGTTGGTGTCACCTGGAGTAAAACTAATAGTACCATCACTGCCCCCATAAATTAAATATAAAAATATCTGTTACAGAATACTTTTACATTATTTAATTAGAATTATAATAATAACAGTAATAATACAAGTATATTTGCACATGACATTTCTTTGTAATATATTAAAAAGCTATGGACTTCAGAATAATGCCGATTCTATACAATTTTCAAATTAGTGTCACCCCTGAAATGATGTCACCAGAAGCAAACTCCCCACCTACCCACCCCTAACTACGCCACTGCTCGTAATCCTACGAAATAATCGAATAAACACATTTCCTTTTTGAATCCACAATTATGTTTTACTTTTTTCTGATTATCTTCCAATTTTTCGTAAAATGCTTGTTGTTTCAAGAATCTACACATGACTTTTTTTTAAAGCTGACATTTTAGAATGTATTTTGTTTATGGAATGGTTTATTTTCCGTCACAATATTACAATAACTTCTCTTTTTATAAGGTAAGAACGAAAAGAAAAAATCATCGAAGAAAGTGAATGCAACAATTTTTGTTTTTCATTTTTCACTGATTAACTAATATTATCAGCTTTATTTGTCAAACATAGCAAGACTGTTTTACTAAGTAAATGTGACACTAATTGACAACCCTCGAAAATTTAAAATCTCCTTGTAACTACAAACTACTTCACAGTGTTTACTGACAATTTCCCTCCAAATGCATAATAATGAAAGAGACGTATTTGAAAATGAAACAATATTGGTTAAGTATCCAGGAGATATCAACCAAAACGATTAGAAAATATATATTTAATACTATAAATAGTTAACTACACACATGCCTCGGAAATCTTATCATATCTTAAAAGGCACAAAAGAGAAGAAAATTATGGAATCAAATTTAATTAACATGTGAAATATTATTACAATGTAATACCAAGGACAATGCCTCACAATAATATCTTTAAAAGAAATGAAATTGAGAAATTATTACATCTATTGTGTTCAGGTTTTGTGCTTGTTTAATGAAAAGTCATGCAATGATGTTCAGAAGATAAAAAACACTCTATACTGTACAATTAAAAGGCAAATATGATCGTGGGGTAGTTGTTAATTGAATCTTGATGTGGTTAGGAAATACGTTTGTGTTTCACAAATTGCCTTTTTTCTCATTGCGTGAAGACATGTTTTCGTTTTTCCATGGAGTTACTTGCTTTTGCAGTATTACGTTAATAATGAACAACTTTACAGTTGTTTTGTACGCAAACGGAACAAGTTTCATCTAGAAAGAGGAAAAAATCCTCATTTAATGAACAAGTATTCCTAATTTTTAAAGCGTACTAAAGTATTAAAATTAGTATTATTAATTTGCAATGCCTACAAAAATTGGAAGAAAACAATGCAGCCTTCGGTTATGATTCAATGTCTGTCGTTTCGCCAGAACCCAGGAACCTCGGGAAAAATCCGAATCATTGTAAGTTTCGATTTTGGCAGAAAATTCAAATTTTTGATTGTGTTATTCAGCCGGCTCGTTCCTCGCTTGCACTGTAATATCTACCTCCTGTATTAATATCCATCACTTTATCACCGTTTCATACTGAACTATTATTGCAGTGTTATACGAGATTATTTATTGTCTTTGATAGATTGATTATTTCGTGTTTCGTGGCTATACGTGTACATGGCGTAATTAATCCCGTAAGTGTATTAAGGTAATTAATCCCATAAGTGTGGTGCATGTTTAATCACGGTAGGTTGCAATAATCTTTCTCGCTTGTAGGTGCGCTCCGGTGCGGACCTACGCCTCGGTTTGCAGGATTTCTCGAGCCAGGTATCTTCCAACAGCGAGGCATAGCCCCGGCTTGAAGAGGTTCCAAACTCCCGACTGAACTCGCGATATACGTGTAGCAATATAGAGGGTGTGGGTATTGTAGGTGTGTGTGTGTATGTTTAAGAGGAGAGTATAGGGACAGGCAGAGTAAGAAAAAAAAAGATCGTACGCGGTCCGTGGCCCGTTTGCAAGGGTACTGCTCCGGCATTCTCGTTGTGTTGATCGGAGAAACCACGGACCGCCGATCCCGGACTCCCGATCAGAATAGTCGGCCAGTAAAATTCACCTCCAGACAACGAATGAATTCAACCTAGCTCTTTAGCTAGTGTTGAAAAAGCTGTCACCGTGGAGAGAGGAACCGTAGGACCTCCCGTTCAGGTGCCCTGCAGCCTCATCAGGTGATCTCCTGAACCATCTCAGTCGCTTGTTGTGCTTGAGTAGAGTACGTGATATTTCTTGCAAAAAACATGTTCGTGTTTTTTCGCACCATTTGTGGTGCTGCATGTCACTAACACGTGTCTAAGCAACATTACACCAGGCGAACCTTGTTAATTATGATTCTATGGGAACGTTTAGTCACGAGCGGTGGAAAGTATTACCAGTTATGCGGCGGGAGTAGACAGTCATAGCAGAATCGCTTTCCATTCATTTGCGCACACCACGGAGCCGTTTGACTGAAGATCGTACGTCAGCGAATGAAGCGATGTTAACACGCAAAGTGTACCTCAGGGATTCCCAACTTTTTTCTGGCAACGAGTTATGTACTTTAAAAAAGAGTTGTTGTCTTCATTGATCCTCTTACATTTTTTAAAGTTTTCTTCATGACATACATAGTAATTCGTAAAGTATTTTTAAGTTGCAGGGAGTTTTGGAAAAAAAAACAAACAATATTTGTTGCGTCCCTGTTATCGAAAAAATGGAAAACTCTTGATGCTATATTAAGGAATTCGTCTTTTTACGCTAGTCATGAATGAATATGAATATATGCATCGTACCATTTAAAAACAGCAAAGTTACCTCAATTTCTCGTAAAATACTAGTGATCAAATGGAAATGAATTCATATATGAACTAGCCCTATTCCTTCATGCTCTGCCGTGAAAACTGCATAACTTCAACCGTTCAAAAATGACAGGAGGTGCTGAAGATACGTGACTCATCCTGAATAGTAAATTGGTACGTGCCGTTCCGAGTCGAACCTAAGTATCTAAACATATCGTGCTATTCAGCTCTGCGTGAGAACCAGAGAGCTCGTGTATCAAGGAAACTCGCGCGAGCAATACTGCGCCCTGCACCACGCGCCGTCTGGCAGCCAGTTCGTTTCCTGTTGATAAGCAAGGAGGTATAGGAGAGACGTGGAGCGGGGAATCCCCTGCGAAGTGTCGTGAACTTGAGCGACGTGAAAATCTCGCGTTCCACCTGCGAAGATCCCCGCATGCGCACGGTTGTTTTAACGGTAGGTGGGGAGGGGGAGCTCTGGGGCCAAGGTTAGTTTGGGGGGCCCTTCTCTTACTTTCATCCATCCCTCCTCTCCCCCACGTTCGATGCTGAAATATAAAGAAAATCCTATTAATTCGCGTCTTATTTTGTATTTTTTTAAATACTTGTATAGTATTTCTTAGTGTTGTACGTATCTTGTACGAATAAGTAAGAATAACAAATATATAATTACATTAAAAAAGATCACACCTTAAAAAGTTTTCATTTTTTATTCAATTGTACTGTATACAATTGAAACGCATCATTGTATGTTGGCGACATCACTCCGTTGGGCCCGTTTTCTGCGTCTAGTTTAATCACACATTTATCCTTTACCGTTTTTATATTTTATTTTTTGAAACATTTATTAATAAATATTGCTTTAATTACTATCGGGGCCCCTGGATGCGGGCCCCTCCGGGCCGTGCATTAATACGGCACCGCTCCTGCGCCTTGCGGATTGTAGCGTGAACTTCACCTCCAAGATGGATGGCCACGGCAGTGGCGGCGCCCGCTAAAAAGCGCCGAATAAAAAGAAGAAAAGGAAACTAGAAACGACGCGCCGCGTCGCGCTCTATCGGCGTCCTTCCCCCGGCCACTTCCGCCACGCCCCCGCCATCACGCGCCGCCCTTCACGCTCACGCTCCATCACGCACTCCCAACGCCGCGGTTTGCGTCCATTCATTCACGGTTCTTGCCACCACCACTGCTGGGGTCACTCCTTCCGTTACTGTATGCATGCTTCATCGCGGGATATTTTTTATTGATTGATTGTTAGCGAATATGGGTGCGTCAACTATTAAGGTTGTTAGTCCTGTTAGTTCATGCTTTAGAATGTGATATTTTTTGATTGATTAGTGAATAAGAGCGTGTCGACGTCTAAGGTAGTTATTCCCGTAAGTGTAGTGCATGCTTTATCGCGCGAGGGGGTGGTGAGATCCGGCGCCAACCCACCCGTCGGCTTATGGGGTGTTCCCCAACCAGGTATCTCTCCCCATCGCGGCACCGCCCCAGCTGGAGCAAGCTCTAAGCTCCCGAGTGTTGTGAATGTCACTGTGGGTAAATAAGGGGCGAGGAAAGGGCAAGGAAGACGGAAACATCGCGCGCTGTCGCTGACCCGTTTGTTACGGAACCGCTCTGGCATGCACCTGCAGTTGATCGAAAAACTAACTATGACTCTGTTGATCATGAAGCTACTGATTAAATAAAACGAAAAAAATAGTATGATTTCTCCTCAGTGTACACGTGTTTTTTTCCTTGGAATACTACAGGCACCCCAAATTCAAATTTAATACAGATATTTAGATACATATCTCCATTCAAATCAATGTGATTTCGAACATCCTTCCTTGCTTGCGCATGTAGAATTTGTGTAAGTCCAAAACCGAGGTCATGAGCATTACCAGTGAGAGCTTACGAAGTCCCTTAATCGGAGACCGTCCTCGTTTTCCGACAAGGCGCATCGACTCACGTACTGTAAGATATCAGCAAAGCCAGTTGTCCTTGCGCGCTACGGCACGGCGTTCACCAAGTTTTTGAAAAAAATACTTTTCGAATATTAGCAATATTTATATAATTGCATTTCACGTTAAAAGAAATTTAGAATACTAGAGAAAAAATATACTTCAATTTCAAAAAAGCAAAGTTGTGTCAATTTCTCTAAAATTACATACGGTGTTAACAAGAAAACGAAATGTGTTATTTGCCCCATCATCTGCAACATCATGGTGCGAAGAGCAATTCGGTACCTCACGCCGTTTTCAAGACATTTGTTGAGGCCACCTCAGGCGGTCCAGCGCTCAATGTTCAACAAGGGTTTGGAGACACGTTGCGTCGATGAAGACGCAACAAACTTTTTATAAATGTCAGTTTTAAATCTTTGAAAATAAATGAAACTTATCAGTTCCAATAATACTCAAATTTACAGTTTTTTACTGTTTCACTTCATTTTATATGTACATACGAACAATACAAACGTGTAGATGACTTGGTGATATCGGGTAAGAAGCTGCCGATGCACTTGCAACGCTTGAGCTGAGGCCACTGGCAACCCTTGTCAAAATAATCGCTCACGTGACTCGACTGCCACATACGCCAGGCAACAATAGCAAGGGAGATTACCGTTCTCGTGAGAGATAATTAGAGAGACTTTCGCACATCATGCCCAATACACTTTTTGCAGCGAAGATGGCTTTCAATAACGACACAGCGCCTGCACTTGATTTGGCACTTTTATTCTATTTTCACTTGAATTATATTGAACCTGTGGCCTTCAACTGAAAAGGGGGAATGAACGTTGAACGAAGACTTGCAAATGTTGGACTGGGTAAAGAAGCATGTAACCTATGAGTAAATAAATTCAAACCACCAAAGATTGTCGTGTACAAAGAATTTTGAGAATTCAACTGAATCAAATATCATGATTTTTGCTTTAAATGAAAGGTATTTGGTCTCCATTATGATATCGGTGTATTATAAACTCATTGTTTCGCAATAACGTAGCACACCGGAAGCTTTAAAAAATTTCAGTGTTTATAATATATTTAGGTGAATAGAGAGATAAACTACAATAGCCCTAATAACGTACGTGTCCAGATCTTGGTGAGGATATATATTTTCAATTACATTTTCAGGAACACGTTTAACTATATTCACAATCTATGGCCATTGTAATGGTACAGAATTTATAAATATCCTTCATGTAATATTGAATAAATTGGAGAAAAAATATTAAACGACATGTAGCAACATATTTGGAGTTTTCTACTTTTTGCTTACTCCCCACGGAGTAGAGAGAAATTTATGTAATGTTGCGAGAAGCAACGGCTCATTTTCGTCAAAAAAACTCTCATTACATAGCCCTTTGCAGCGAAAAGGTGGATAAATCCAGATGCTACATTTAAAAAAATCCTATATCTTGTAGCCAAAATCCATGTTTTGTGTGTTCTTGATACAGAATAATGGAATGGCAGTAAAACGTCTGTCTGTCCGTCCGTCTGTGAACAATCGTTAAACCCTTCAGCCGATTTTCTCCAAAATTGATATTCGCCAATCGATCTGATTGATGTCACGGCCACTTGCATTTGAAACTGATGTTTTAAATTTGGAGGATACTTTACATAAAGCCTCTGGGATATTTTCTAAATTTTCAAAAAATGGCTCCATCATTTTTAATTAACACTTTTTTATTGGACAGTGTAAATAACGTTTAAGAGAATGACACAGGTCTTATGCTAGTTCAAAACCCTGATTTTTCGAAAACTGCAAAAGTTCAAAATTGCCTTCTTCCAACTAAAATATTAGGTAGAGATTTTTTCCCTTGATGAAATATGTTGCTTAAAGAGACTCTTTGAAATAAGGTCATGTAGAGTTTTTCGAAAATTTGAGTGCTTTTCGCGTTATTTTGCATGAAATCACCGGGGGGAAAAGTAGTGCTGTTTTAGCACCACTAGTTTGTAATTTTCCTTAGTTCCTAGAGTCTTACAAAACCATAGACACCTCTCCCGCGGCCGAAGGCTGCATAGTCCTCTTTCTGCCCGCTTTGAAAAATGGTAAAACAGATCAACAATAACAACACAAGCTACTGCCGCAGGACTTTTCCCGGTTTACCCGTTGTTTCCACGGCCTACTGGCTATTGTACCGCTTTGTGCCAATCAGCGCCTTCTTAATAACAAATTCCGCCGCCGCTCAGCCGCGCTATTCCTTTTGCTTCCATCGCAGCGTGGCAGCGCCGGTCTTTGTAAAGGGCTGTTTTTTAGTGATATTTTTCTTTCGCCCGAGATGCAGTGGCCGCGGCCTCGGCGTGAAGCACGTGACGACGGGGAGTTCCTGCCGGGGAGGGCTATATAACGAGAGCCCGTCGACGGGGCGAGCAGTGAACGATTCGCCAGCATCCAGCGGTTGTGCACTTTGAGTTTCTGAGCGCCCTTCGAGAGACGAAAAATGAAGTTTACTCTGGTGAGTAACGCTTGTAGGGGAATTGTGAGAACTATAATGTGGTATTGGTGACGTAATTATATGAAGAAATAATGGAAATCATCTCCGTCAACTTAATATATTTTTAAAATGAAAAATATATTAAGTTGACGCTGATGACTTCCATTATTCATGCTATTAGTTTAAGTCCAAACGAATCCTTTTTACACTCTCGTGTACAACAAACGTAGTACAAATGTATCGATTTTCGTCAGAAAATATATGGGTCATATTGTGGGGCCTTGATATTAAAATAGTTTATAAATCTTTTTCTTATGCGTAGTAAATTACTTCCTGTAGTAAGTTCTGAAGTTAGTATCCACATTTGAGGGTGCTTCATATCGATATTTGGTTTATAGCAAAATATCTGTCCGTCAGTGTGAGCGAACAATTCCAACACCTAAGTAACTCCCAGGATTTCCATCAAATTTGATATTTTCCGAGCGATCTAGCTGACGTTTATTTATTTATTTACTGAACATCAAAACAGTTAAAAACTATATGTGACGTACTACACGCAAAATTGTATTCTAAGTACGATTTCCTATATTTTGACATGTCATAGCCGGTATTTTAATTTTCATACGAGTCTCCAGCGACATTTTCAATTTTTTTCTACAAAAAATGGATCCAAATTTTCTGTTTAAATTGTTTTACAAGAGTGTATAAAAGTAGCTGGTTATAGAAATGCCGCAGGTCCCGTTTTCGTTGAAATCTTATATTAAATGAAATAGTGAACCAATTATTTATTCGAATACTGTGATTATGATAGCTAAGTGGGTTCAGACTTCGCTTGCGAAACATAAGTACCGAGGTCCGCGCCAAATAGTTTTGCGGCTTGGAGACACTTTGGCTCCACCATTGATATTCAACGCGCAAGTTTTCTTGATATTCCATTGCGGGGGAAGAGGGAACAGAAGGGCACTGGTTACGTCACGGCTTAAAAAGGCGTACCAACTGTGGAACTTCGCGCACCAAAGCGTGCCACGAGTATCGCTACAACAAATAAAACCATAGTATTCGATTTTTCAAATGTTTCGTTCGTAATACAATTAAATAGACATTTTATGAGAGAAGTGCTAATTGAGCTAAATTCAATTAGTTCGATGGGACGCGAAGAATAAACTCGTTTCAATCTGAACTCACGTTCACAGAATAAGTTCTCACAAATAGTTTATAAGTGTTATTGACATTAAATAAAACATAAAGAAAATCCAAATTATAGCTGTTCAAATGTGGAAATGTTCAAATGTGGAAATTCAAGTAAGCTTAAGTACTTAATTTTTTTAATGAACTTATTTTGTAGAACAGACTTCATGTAACAAAACATTTGTCATTAATATTGTTGTGTGGCAATGGTTATTGTTAGTTAGCATTTTTCAAAAATACAGAGAATGTGTCTAAAATTGAACCTGATTAATTTTCTTTATCGGTCTTTGACGTAGAGACGAAAACAAGCCAAAGAAAAAAATTGAATCCGTTATTCAGAAAATAGTTGTTTAAAATAATTTTAGGAACGCTTGAGCTTTATGCAATATTACGCAAAAAATTTTCATATTTTCGAAAAAGTGAACATGTGCTATTTGAAGATGTTTCAGATAAACATATTTCATTAAAGAAACAAATTTTATCTTCAATGTTGTAGTTGTAGGAAGGGGGGGAAATGTAACTTGCTATTTTCGAATAATTAGAGATATCAACGAAAATCAGACCTACGCCGTTCTCTTAAGTTTCTATTACATTATCCCTCACAAAATTTAACGAAAATATTTGGTGCCATTATTTTGAAAACGTGTATACGTGTAATGTAAAGTTCCCCCAAAGTTGAAATATCAATTTCTAATTCAAGGAGCCGCGACATTCGCCAGATGGAGTGGGGAATATCAATTTTGGAAAAATGGGGCGAACGGTTCACGAGCTACCGTTGACAGACGTTTTGTCGTCAAACGATTTCTCGGTATAAAGCAACCACAAAACTACGATTCTAACTACACGGCGTGTTAGAGAAGTTTCTTTCTATCTTTACCAAGTGGATATATCCGCTTTTTCTTTACCAAGGCCAGGCAGTTTTTGTCGAAAATTTACCGTTTTACACAACTTTCTCTACGCAGCTTAAGCAGTAAGGAGAAAAATGGCGTAGGTCCGATTTTTTATTGAGGTTTTGAAAATTGCAAATGTCACGTGTATGCAAATCAAATTTAATATAAATCTAATTTAGTATAAATCGAATGTTTGTGAATTGAAGTTTCTGTAAATCGAAATTTTGGTAATTGAAAATTCTTGTAAGTCAGTTTCTGTAAGTGAAACTTTCTATAAATGAAAGTTTCCGTGAATCGCAATGCTGTGACCGGCAGTCCGTGTGAGTGCGCGCTTTGCCGCAGCTGCTGCTGGTGGCGGTGGCGCTGGCGGCGTCTGCGCTGGCGGACCAGCACGACAAGAACGACAAGGACCACGCCAAGGAGCACCCCAACGAGAAGCACTCCAAGAACGACGGCCACGGCCACAAGCGCTCCGTGCGCTCGCTCGGCCTCGCCGCCGCCCCCGCCCCCGCCCTCGCCCTCGCCTACGCCCCCGCGCCCTACGCCGCTTACGCCCACGCCCCCGCCTACGCCCGCGCCCCCGCCTACGGCCTCGCCTACTACGGCTAGCCCACCACCCACTCACTTCCTTCCCATCCCCTCGAGGCGCATTCCTCCTCAGCCAGTGACGAGACTCGCAAGCAAAATTTCGTTCTACAACTCTCCATCCATTACACTATCAAACCCTTTCGAAAAGGAAGGGAATAAACTTTTAAATCTACAAGAGGTCTCTCACAAAATCCTCTCACTTCTACAAACCTCTCCTCTTCCAACTACGCAAACAAAAACCCCAAAAAGATTACGAAACCGCAAGAAAATACCCACAAATTTCCCATTCTCTCTAATAGCATTCCTTCGCAGCCAGTGATGAGCATCTCAAAGAAAATCTAGTTCTAAAACTCTGTATCCATTACACTCAAACCCTTTGCAAAAAGGTTGTACACCAATAAGCAAATAAACGTTAACAAATGTTTAAAATCTCAATCCTGCATGAAGTGTCTGAAATCCTACGGCCTCACCTACAATGGCTAATCCCCAACTCATCAAGCTCTCCTATTCCAACTACGCAAACGAAAAGAATACGTAACCGCAAGAAAATACCCACAAATTTCCCATTCTCTCTAATAGCAGTCCTTCTCAGCAAGTGATGAGTCACTCAAAGAAAATCTAGTTCTAAAACTCTGTATCCATTACAATCAAACACTGCGCAAATAGGTAAGTAGTAACCAGTAAGCAAATAAACTTAAAAAATGAAGAAAATCTCAAATCACAAGGAGCTTCTCACAAAATTCTCTCAAATCTACAAGCTCTCCTCTTCCAACTAGGCAATAAAACGCTACGTAACCGCACAAAAATACCCAGAAATTTCCAATGTTCTCTAGTCCCATTCTCCAAAAGAATTCTCTGAATTGATTGCATTGAAACCCCATGCAGAAAGGTTGTACACCAGTAAGTATTTTGTTAAACATTATGTTTTGCGTTGAAAATGCTTAGGCCTGAGAGGTTGATGGCGTTGGATATCCCTGCTTGTCGGCAGCGCTATCGTACGTTTATTTTCGTAACTACTTTCTGTAAATCGAACTATGAAGAATACATTTATTTTATTAGAGCGCGTATTCAATACTTTAATGTCCATTGACATGCTAAATAGTAATAGAACAGATGAAAAAGACCTCCGTGATTCCTGCCCATGAAACTGAATTGACATTAACTTTCGTAAAAGTAATGTTGCTTTCAAGTTTCGTTAATATAAAATGTTTTGTTAAAAGAGTAGTGTCGGAAGAGCGAAAGATTGGCTCAGTATCGAAGTGTTGTTTTAGAACACGTGAAGCAGCGTATTCTATTCCCAGTGTATGTATCCATTCTACAGTGCCTTAGAATCCACTAAATTACAACACTTTAAATTTGTGATGACAATTTTCTGCATAAAACGGTCGCTTTCGCAAAGAAGGGGAATATTTGAATTCTGAAGAAATATTTTACATTAAACTTGAAAGAAACATTATATTTATAGAAATTATTGTCAATTCAGTTTCATGGGCAGGAATCACGAAAGTCTTTTTATGCTGTACTACTCCTATTTAGCTCTCAATGGACATCGAAGTATTCTGTACGCTCTCCAATAAAATAAATTTAATCTTCATAGTATGATGTACAGAAAGTAGTTTAGAAAATAAACGTACGATAGTGCTGTCGGCAAGCAGGGATGTCCAGCGCCATCAACCTCTCGGGCCAAGGAAGTTTCACCGCAAACTTAAGGTTTCGGAGAGTGTACGTAAGCACCTGCACTTATTCAAGAAGGGGATTCACATCATTCACGTATTCAGGACAATGCGACAGCCCACACGTCCAGAATTGATACAGAGTGGCTCCAGGAACACTCTTCGTAATTTAAACACGTCCACTGGCCACCAAACTCCCCAGACATGATCATTATTGAGCATATCTTGGATGTCTAGCAATGTGCTGTTCAGAAGAGATCTCCACCCTCTCGTACTTATGAGTTTATATACCGCTCTGCATCGCCGTGTTGCGGTACTTCTGCGAGCTCACGGAGGCCCTACACGATATTCGACGAGTGTTCCAGTTTTCTTGCTCTGCAGTGCACATTTACACAAACTCTTATAAATGAAAAACTATTTTAAATACTGCTAGCATTCAGGGAATATCATATTGGAATACTACAATGACTCGACTGCAATGAAGTTCATTTTTGTGCATTACGTCTACTTGTTGGGACATGATTTACCTGTATGAAAAGCAGTTATAATTGTCAATGTGTTGACATTTGCTTGAAAATATTTAGGTTTTGCACCAAATGTAAGATTTGTAATGAGGAGGGTTGGGCATTATTTAAATACTGGTATATAAAATACGTATTTTAATTACATTCACATGTTTATCCAAGACAGTTGAATGACTGTTTTCCTTTGCAGGTTTTACACATTCGTCAACTAGGGGTTCATGGTATGATGATTTGTTTAAAAAATCAGTCGTTTTTAAACGATATATCATTTCTTTGTGTTACACATATTTTCTAATATCACTTTATATTTGAAAATGTTTATATCTATATTGTTAAAATACATTACAATAGCTATTGTTCAGAAATTTGTATGACAGTCAATTACTGATTTACTGCAATTGACAATATATTGTAATGAAATAGTAATTAACGAAACGAGTGATAAAGAGGGGTATTATTGCATAAATCGTATGTTCAAGAAAATGAGTGACGATAGCAGCGAGTTTTCTTATTTACCATGAGTGCAGTTATGAGTGTTTTATCCACGTGTTACGTACAATATTTGTTCGTTTCCATTAAACAGCTAGTCTCTGTCGCTTCCGCCAGATAACATGCACGCCCTGCGTGCACTTGGCCACGAGGTTAAGGATGTGGTCTCGGGCCCGAGCTTAAGCATAAACACAGACCTCGACCTAGTGGCCATGGGAGGGGAATCGACAGTAAGCTCCAGGCTACAAAATGTATTTGCCTTCTGATTTTCCTTTCATATTTGCTTTCTCGTCCCCTAAGATGGTACTTCGTGAGGAAAAGTTATGTTATTGTGCGGCGGAAAACGACAAATTTTCTAGAGAATCTCTGCATCAGAAGGAAACAGTCGCTTTCAAGAGCGAACGCCTTTAGCCGTCTGACTGCAACATTCGCAACTGCCCTTTCGTCCATTCAACTCCTGGTTCTTCGATCTCAACACAAATGAAGTTAACAACAACATCGAGCTCGCGAACGCGATATTTGAATAAAGAATGCTGTTGTTAGCGGGCACCCACTTCACTGGTGGAGGTGCTCAGCAGTGAGCAGACTCAGTGGCCAGCCGTGGCCTCCAGCGCAACTTGCTCGCGATGCGACCGTCCGCCTTGCTGGCGCTCGTGGCGGGGACGGCGGGCCAACAGCGCGGCGCCGGCAAGGTCCGCGTGCACAAGTGCTGCGGCGCGCGCCACATGCTCTCAGCTGACGGAGAGGCGTGCGAGGAGGCCGCGTGGCCCGGGCCCCGCTCAGCGCACACAGACGACTTCGGCCGCGTCCTCGCTCCGCTGGCTGCCGCCCGGCCTCCCGCTGCACCGCGTCAGCGACGTGGATTTCGACAGCAGAAGGGCCGGTCCGTTCGATTACATCGCGTCCGTCGCCGCCGTCAACGCCTCCTCCCTGTGGGATCCCGCTCTACCCGACCTCGGGGCCACCGCCGCCTTCATCCTGCAGCCTCGCGTGCCCTTCTTCGGGACCGAAGGCGGCCTGCGGAGGGCTTCGGTGTGCGTGGACGCCGCGCCGCCGCCCCTCGGCCCCTTCGCCGTCCGCCTGCGCTCCAAGTGCGCGCACGAGGAGTGCGTGAGGACCTGCTGCTGGAAAGGCCATTGGGCATGCAAACGCCATCACACACACTACTGGACGCCCAAGAAGTCCGCCCTCAAAGTCTTCGATCCCGAGTTTCCCCACGGAGTGGCCACCTACAAAGAGCACCCTCGCCTTTTGCCTTTGGACGAGCGGTACGCCGAGTGGTCCCGCCACTCCAGGGGCGTCCACCACTTCCACTTCTCCACCTGGGCGACTTGCTTCGCGTTCTACCGCACCAGCAACGGCAGCTTCAAAGAAGGCATCTTCTTGTTCGAGAGCTCGCGAATGACCAGAGGAGTCTACTGGCTGCTCCGGCCGCTGTGCTTCCTGTCTGCTCTGCTGTTGACGGTGTCGCTGCTGTCTGTTGCTTGCAACAGGAGCATGCAACGCAAAACTCATGGTCGTTGCCTTGCAATCCACGCTGCCTGTCTATTGGCTTTCAATATCGGACAGATTGGGTATTACATCGCACTCAGTGACCGATTGAACGAAAAAGGAAAACAAGAAATACCGCCAGACCTTCAGCCTCTGTGCATGAACTTTGGTGAGTATATTCATATAAAAGTCGCATTGTAGAGAAACGACTGTTAAGATTGTTTATCAATACGTTGCATCGATCTATTGATTGTCAGTTATTCCGGGCGCGTTAACTACTGAGTAAGTGTAGTGCAAGTTTTTTCATCGGGAGATGGCAACGGTCTTGCCCCGCTAGATGGCGAGATCCGGCACGAACCTACCGTCCACTAGTGGGGTTTTCTTCAACCAGATACCTCCCACAAACTTGGCACCTCCCTGCCCGGGGACACGCTCTGAGCCCAGACCGGTCTCCTGGCATTTGTGGTAGTGTAGTGCATGTTCATGTAAGTGAGAGTAAGTAAAGGGTAAAGGTGGGATACGGAAGAGAATACAAAGATTTCGCGCGGTCATTTTATTAGAGTACTACTCCGTTATTCGCTTGGTATTGATCAGAGAAGCCATGCAAAATTATCGATCAGCGCAGCTGGCCGCTAGAATTTGCCTCCACACACGACTGAATTCGACCTAGGTGGCAAGCTAGCATCAAAAATCCTGCCGTGTCTCTAAAGGAGGGAATTTCGGGAAGAGAAAATGAAAAGACAAATCGAGTCAAGTAAACATCTCGTTAACTAGTAAATATGAATCAATATTATTAGGTAAAAAATAAAATAGTGGATCTACCACGGCGATAAAATTGTCACTAATGATCTCGGACGACAAAAAGTGATCGTCCAAAGCCCCTTGGGCATTTTGTCGCCGCTCGATCATTAGAAAACATAACACCTTTAATGCATAAATAACCTTTTAGCAAATACTTTTACATACCGCAGAGTCTCGGTAATTCGAGGTCGACGGGACCGGGCCTAGCTCAAATTAACGAAAACTCGAATTATCGAAAATGATTAATTTATTAAAATAGAAATATAAACACACCTTTTAAATCTCAAAGTATGTGTATTTCATTAAAAATGTACTTGCATAATATTAATACGTCCAATGCTGAAGATTACTTAATTACATCTGAAAGTAATTGCCAATATTTTTTTGTTTAAGTACATTGCTTCTTTTACTTGCGACAATATCACGCCATCTTTCCAACCTCAC